AGAGAGAGAGAGAGTGATTGCGAGGCTAACATGTACGTTAAAATTTTTGAAACAAAACCACAGTCTCTCTCAACATATTACATTAGAAAAGAAATGCCATTCGGGGGGTTTCCGTCTTAAAAAAATTCTGTAAATTTCTCAGTCACTACACACACCGATCACTTTTTTAATTTTATTTCAATTAAAATTTTAAAAAATGTAAACACTTCCTCACTTTTCTCTTTACTTTCACGGCACACATTTCAATCCGAAGATAAACGTTTTAGAGATCACAAGTAATATTACAATAAGGGGGAAACACCCAATCTGATGGTATTTATGAAGTTCCAAGTTTATCTTGCTCATATTAACTACAATTGTAAATTATTGAGTTTTGAAAGAGTATATATGTAATAAACTTTGTTGCCGTATTTACAGCAATATCTTTGGAGGCATGTAAATATATATTAAAAACTTGGGCATATTACTATATGGTGTCAGCTTATATTATGCTTTGATCTCCATGCCACTTGACTAAAAACAAATATTTCTAATAAACTGGAATCAATGCTGTTACAACAAACACATCTGACAATCAACTAGAAAGGAGACCTCAAAGAACAACTTTTTTCTATAAACGCACAGACGATCATTCAATTACGAATTCATTAAACAATTTCACTGCACTCATGGTCGGAGATTGATCCACTGGAAACAACACACCTCACACCCTGCGTAATATGTGCTAATACCTGTTTGGAATCAGATCATGAACTAGCATCTTATCTCATATGATCCAGCTTTTGTAATGTAACGAACCCATTCTACTGTGTTGTACCCGCTCTTCTCCCACACCTACAAAAAGATTTGAGCAGTACTAGGAAAATTCAATAAAGTGGCTTAATTATGGCAAATAGTGTAACTCCATTTTATACCTTGAGAAAGCGGACACGTAGACCTGATGCGGTGAACATTGGAACCTGAGGAATCACAAAATCAACACAAGGACATACATATGTAGCATCCAGTTCTAGAGATTAAATCAACAAATAAAACCAAGAGTGCCTATTTTAAGAAACCACAAAAAATTCCGATACAGAACACCTATTAGCCTGACCTACTATGTATAAATAAGAGGCTATTGAGGGAATATTTTGCACAATTTTCTGTCATAGAACCAGTCCAGGTTTTAGAAACGAAAACATACACAAGGACAAAATACGAAAATTTTATGGTCTTGAAAAAAAATTAGGGTCTTATTTAAACCATCGAGCAACCTATATGTGAATTTTACACCTCTCGATCAGAAGGTTCAATAAAAAATAGTCTAAATAGCATGTCTGACAAGTTTCACATGGTGAGCTTGTGTGATTAAATTACCATCCTGGAGATATCTAGTATCCTCCTGGTTCCTACTTATATAGTATGCCTCCATCCCCCAAAATACCCACAAACTAAGAGCCTTTACCAGAAAATCTACTATTCAAGGATCAAAAAGATATTAGTCTACCTCGGTCTGGCATGTCCGATCTGTTTATGGGGAGAAGGAAACAGTGAAAAAATTATGGCTTAACTGAAAACTCTAGCATCTTCCAAAGCAGAAATAAACATTGGCATGCATAAAATAAGGAAAAGAATGAATACCTGGAATTCCATTTGAATAGGTGGCCGGGTCCATGATTTCTTTTCTGCCATTGTCGAAATCAACTCAACCTCTGCACTCATGGTTGACTCAGTTTGCCCCGGAAATTTTCTAATCCTGCAAGTTTAATGTTTTATTGAGTAATTAACTACTACAGAATCCAGAAACATCACATTAAAAGGAAGGATAAAATTAGTCACAAAATGATAATTGAAATAACAAAATACAAGCAACCAATTATGACTTTCAAAATACTAGTTAAAGGATTTTACCAGAATGATTTTGAGTGATTATACCGAAATAGAATTACCAAGTGGATAATAAGATACTTTCTTTAGGTGTTACTTCCAAACAGACATGCAACATCTTTGGCCTCAAAAGTCTGCACAACAGCATAACACTGTTCTATGACCCGAAACAATGTCTAGATGAGCAAGCAACGGCTTGATAGCATGACAATTCAATAGACAAAGTAATGAACCATATATATCATAAATTGTTGAATTTTAAGATTAACCGCATTGGTCATAATGTTGGTACAACCTAGCCATGGCAAATGTAGGCAAGATAAGAGTTGCAGTGAAACTAATGCTACTTACCAGCTAGAGATCTGCTTCTTTTTAGCTATACAGATCCTTTCCCCTCACTAACCTCTGTTGAGGGCAATATCGCTAGACATACTAATGGTCATTAAGTATGTTGTTTCTGGTGCAGTCTTCTTAACGATTCACTAATTCTCCCTGCACCCCTTATCTGAATCAACTCATCTTGCCAAATTAGTGCATTACAAATTATTTTAAACAATAACATCTATCTAAGATCTACCACCACGACCCGGACTTAGTAATAAGCTAGTTCATGCATACACAACATCGGCAACAACAATATCAAAGCTGTAAATTCCCAACTATTTGAGGTTGACCATATGGATCGCTTGCCGCCATTAAGATATATAAAAAGCTACATCTTTAAATAAGTTAAAAATATTTAAATTTTTATTTATAGTTTTTATTGAGTTATTTTTAGGACTGCACATCTTCTCGTAACACTAATAATAATTTTTTCACATCTTCTAACGGACATGATAATGATTCTCCTTCATTTTATTTTATCTTTTGAAATGACGCCTAATTGCTAACAAATGGAAACATTTCTTTTCCTATCTTTCTAAATATCTCCACGTATCCATCTCAACATTCTCATTTTACCAACACAAATGTTACATATATATATTATTTCTTCACTTCCAACACTTAAAGATCCATTAAGTATTGTTGGTCTATTTTAAACTTTTCTTTTAATCTCAAAAAAATCCCATGATCATGTCCCTTGTCAATTTTAATCATATTATTTTTACTCTATGAATAATATCATTATCAATATCACAATTTTGTTGAAGATAAAATCAGATAGGGTCAATGTACACAGTCTGTAATCCAAATATAGATATAAGGAATGAATTAAGGTGCAATAAAGAAGTTACTTGCAACTCTTCAAACATGTCAAAGGGAAGTTAACCAGCCACATAACAAATGTTTGTGCCACTAGGATTTGAATTTTGAAATAGCATAATGCCAACCATCACAAATGGTCTGGACAACTAGAATATGCCCTGGCACCGAAACAGGTTATGGTAACCCACTAGAAGAAAATATCCCTTTCCAAGATTAATAAAAAAATGCACTTGGAAGTAAATCAAAGGCAGTAAATGTATTCCAGTTATTTTCATGAAACATTGGGCCATCACTTTTTAGTTATATGTTAATGGCTTAAAATAAATAAAGCCTGAGATATTTTTGTACTAAATACCAAACCTAAATAGTTCAGATTTACAATTTGTATTGTTGTAAATCTAACATACAAGTAGAAGAAAGAAAAGCATCACAGAGTTTGAACGTCCTCCTTAAAAAACATTATCTGCATGTTCTACATCAGTTTATAGTTCAAGATAAAAAAATCTAGTCAATTACAAACAGAAACACACATAAAGCTTATCATGACACAAAAGGAATATGAAACACCAAAAAAGAGTAATAAATAAAACTTACTTCCACACCAAGCAGTCTATGGAAGCATTATATTTGGCCCGACCAGATGTCACTTGGAAACTTGTTTTTGCAGTTTGCTTAGGAACTGGAACTTTTACCACAACACCAAGCGCGAACATTTTTGCACCAAAGACGCTTTTAACCTGAATATCATGGTTTAGAATACATGAAAAATACAAGTGTACACCTATAATATGTATCAGACTAACCTTGACGTTTACTTCCATCCTTGTTCTACCTAATTCCTTGATTGTTGGCAACACACGAAATGGTAGATTTACACCCTCAGTTATGCGATACCTAGAAAACAAGTCAACGTTGAGAACGACTTCCAAAGAAAGTTGGTCTCTACAATTCCTAGGCCACAGTACCACAACAACATATTTACATGTATCAGATTGCAAAAGAACAAGATTCTTCGCTTGTCATTATTCATTAATTTACAAAATCATAAGCTAAAACAGACAACTAAAAGCTTGTACCAACCAATAATACCATACTACCATTCTATTATACTTTACTGTCGAAACATTTTATGCCTTTATTCTAATACACATTATACGACATAACAAATTATAATTAAAGGGCAAGCCTTTCTTTTTCTCGTCCTACATCAAACAATCATTGATATGCAGCCATATCATATAACGAAAACACTAGAAGCTTCCTATATGTCCTTTATCTGCGAAATTAATGAGTTTCCTAAACAAAAAATCATTAGATCTCTTGACTATGATTTAAATCAAAACATTTAAAGCTTCCTAAAAGATTAAATCATTGCAAATATATGGCTAGCATTCAACATTAAAACTGAACCTGACAACTATTTTGCTGATCAATTGCTTTAGTAATTCAAGTAAATTGTTTAAAATCAACAACCATGACAATTACTTGAATACAGTTATTGAATCATAACAAAAGATTTTTTACGTACTTCTGGATCCTATAATTACAAGGTACTTATACATGTTATTAGCTTCCATCAAAAGCTTCACATACTGAACATATGGTAATTGGCACAAAAATCCCTGATTGTACTGTATACCAGCATGAAGCATGTACTAAATAATGAAGGAAGATTTAAATCAAATCAATATGAAATTTACAGAAAATTCAATGGATAAAGAGACGATATTGAACGATTAGAATTTGTACTACCTTTAATCAGGAGTAAAAGCTTTCTGAAGAATCATTATATGTCTAAAGATTGCAAAATGACATGACAGTTCTACTTTTAATAGCTCTAAGAGCCATCCACTCTTAAACTTTTGGAATTTCTACAGCTTCGGCATCTAGTGAAGATCATTTCTAACTCATTTATAAATTTAAGCTTACAAATAAAAGTCCAACTAATCTCATTTTAAACATCAAGCAAATTTCAGGTATCTGTTAACATGTGATCCCTTCTAATTAAACATTGCTTTGCTGCTTGTAACATTAAAAATTTTGAACATGGCAAATCAATACAATGCTTATTCAAGAAAAATCCAGCCAAACATAACATATATAATGTGTGCATGTGCTTATCACAATCATTCGGGTCTCGCGTGTAATGCTTAGACACTCAACTGATTAAAAGTTTATATACAGCACATCAGTTCAAACCCTACTATATGAGATTGATATTTGAGCTAAGTTAAAAAACAAAAATATAAACGTTATGAGCATGATTCAAATTGATGATTATAGAGGACAGACATTATAGACCATTTCCGCACATTGACAAGGAAATAAACAGCAGATAAATTCAAGAATTTACTGAACCAAAAAGTCATGTTGCCAATATAAAAACTGAACAAAGGCATCCCCAGCAATAACCGCATAGAAAAATTACTTCATCAGTTCAAATTCACCATCAGGCGGCACAAAACTGACAGTCTTTTCTGAGTTGAACCTCGTCAAGTTTACACATTGGTGGAAAGTGACATCATCAAGTTCTATGGTTTTCCCACTGGAAAAAGCAAAGGACTATTGTTAGTTCCAGATATTAATTCAATTTACATAAGACCAAGTTATGATGACAATATATTGCATAAAGGATAGCACAGGTGACTAGAACTGGGGTGCAAAAAAAGATGCATGCCGTTCAAGGACTTGATTTTGGGAAAAAGTTGAACTTGAGTAGATATGTATGCAGCCTAAATTCTGCAGTGTTTTCTATGGTTTGGACCTGACACTCATGTCATAAAGGAGCAATCTTACTATGTTGCCACTTGGACCTGTTAACGGATGCAACCATTGGCTCAAGCATGGCCTCCAAGCCCATTGTTAGGTGACATCAGATAGGTGAATAATCAAATAGGGCCAGGCTTGGGTTGGCCAGGTCAAGTTTAGGCTTGGCTGAGCAAACAAATAAAAAGAGTATAGTGTTTCAAATAAAAAGAGTACTGTTATTGTCAGAACTCTTATCAGGGAAGGTCTGGGATTCAAGGCCCCATTTGTGGACTTTTTTGACATTTTAGAAGCATTGTAAATAATTATGACAGTGAGTTGGATGGTTTAGAATTTGTAAAATTCATCAGGGTCAAGCCTAAAAAAAAGGACAAAAATTAACCAAGACAGGCCAAAACTGGGCAAGTAAACTATAAATGTAGGGTCAGGCTGGCAGCTAGGTCTGATGTGAAAAGATGCATTTGCATCATGGTTGCTATCTGCGCAGCTTCATTTTTCATGCCCACCTTGGTGGCATCTTGGAATGCAGATGTTAAAAAAATCCAATGGCTACCTATCTTCCTCCAAACAGTTTCTTAAGATGTTCCCCACTTTCAAATATTAATATATGATGGTATATTTTGCAGCGAAGCTTGGCCATCGTTTCTAAGCAAAATGAACAATGAGATATTTGATGTATGATCAAAACAGTTTCTCAACAAAGTAACAATTCTGGCTTATTTACCTTTTTATAGGTCTGGATTTGAGTTGTGACTCCTTTTCAAGACCAATCTTATCATTTAAGCCTAGCTTTAGATCAGGCATCCCAGAGAGGAAGCATTTCATGAGAATCTTTCCCGTCACATCACAACGTAGAACACTTCCTATGAACAATATTCAAGTAACATAAAGAGATTTTAAGGAAAACAAACTAAGTTGGAGACTTGGAGTAATGAAAGAGCTTTTTAGACACAAAAAAACAAATTGAACAAACCTTTGGAGGACATAAGAAGATTAACACTTTCGACGATGTCCAGAAAGACCTAAAAAATACTAGCATTAGAACAGAGTTTCTCACACTAATAGTTATACGTATGGAAACAAACTCCAGTAAAGTCACCTCATTCTTTTTATATACAAGACCCTCACGTCGCCAACCAACGGCACCTGTAACTTGTAGAGTTGCATTGGGAACGGGCTTGTCTGAGGGCTAATATTGCATAAACAAAATTAGAAAAATGTGGTTAATGTATAAAAAATTTCTATTAATTCAAGCATGGTTTAACTGTAAAGTTGAAATTTATGGTTGTGAATGATAATTCAAATGGTAATATGTAAACCACTTGGTTCTTCTTTGTTAAGAGAAATAAAGCCCTGTACATCTAACCTTGGAGGAGAATGGTGACCGAACACCTTCCTGAGTTATGTAAAGCTTCAAAATTTCAGGTGAAAGATTTTGAGGGTACCCAAAATCCATAATCTCTGCAAATTAACAAAAAAAAAATATCATGGTCATTATACCAAAACTTCTGATCTCTCTCTCTCTCTCTCTCTCTCTCTACACACACACACACACACACACACATGAGAGAATGATAAAGTTAATATAATCAAGGAACACAAATGGTATCATGATATAAAAACTAATACTAGAACTTGTATGTGATGCTGGCTTCTATGAATATTTTTACAGCATGGATCAAGGTTCGCAATACCATACCGTACCGGAGTTTCGATCTGGGCTCGGTACCGGTACGGTACGGTATACCGCTCGGTACACCCAGGTGTACCGAGCGGTATATTTAGGCGTGCCGAGCACTGTAGTAGTGCTACAGTGCTACAGTACTGCTACAGTGTCTGAACGGTAACATATGGTCCGCGTACCGAAAGTCTGTCGGACCGGTACGTACCGCCCGTACCGGGCGGTACGGACCGGTACTACAAACCATGGTATGGATATTGTTTGCTAATAATTTCTCATCTTAAGGTTTGTCATTTGGGTACCAAGCCCATAGTGATCCATGGGTGGTGCAGTATGGATCCATTATGCATCAGCATACCAACACAGTCTGATGGCATATATCATGGTAGAAGAAGAATAAGAGTATGGAGAAGACCAATGGGCCACTAACAACTGGCGATGAGCAGATGGCAATGGGTAGTGCAAGTATAGGTCCAAACAACCCGAAATGTGGCAATCCACATCCTACTTCATACCCAAACCAGCAAATACCTGCTGCTGTATACCGGTTCACAGAAAAAGGCAAAACCTTACCTCATCTTTGTAATAAGATAAACCAAAACTCAAGTTGCATAAAGATTCTCAATCCTCATGCTAGTTCCTAAGCATCCTACCACAGTTTAATGCTAGTTCCCTATTTCAGCAAACTCTAAAATTATTTCCATTAAGTTGTCTATAAATAACAGGAAAACTTATGAGTCCCAAAACACACCTTTAATTGCTTGCTTTGTTTCTATTTTTTGGCAATTTTTAGCAATTAATTATTCGGTTTTCTTTAATTTAATCCTTGAGAGGCTTCTAATCTTCCTCAAACTAAAGAAGCACCAAGTAGGAAGCAATGATTGAAAAAGGCGCTCGGGCGCTCGCCTAGGCGCTCGGGCGAGGCGAGGCGAGGCCCGAGCGCCTCGCTAATGTCCCAGGCGGCGCGCTTCAAACAGGCGCCGCCTGGGCGCTCGCCCGAGCCCAAGCGCTGGGCGCTTCGGGCGAGCGCCTAGGTAAACCAAGGCGACCGAACCAGAATTTTAGGTCTGGTTCGGTCCTGGTTCGATTGTTAGTTGGTTCAATCGAACCAACTAAACCGATATAACCCCAGCCCTAACCCTTACCCAACCCTAACCTGCTGCCGATCCCGATCCCGATCGCGATCTCGTTGCTCGTCGCTCCTGGTCCCGCTGTCGCTGCTCGCGCCTCCCGCGAGCCTTCCCGCAGTTCGCGCCTCCCGCGAGCCCTCTCACTGCTCGCGCCTCCCGCGAGCCCTCTCGCTGCTTGCGCCTCCCGCGAGCCCTCCCGCTGCTCGTGCCTTCCGCTCCCTTTCCCTTTTCCGCTGCCGCCGCTCGCCGCTGCTTCCTCGTTTCTCCATCAGGTTCAGTATACAGTATACTCTTAATATTAAGTTTATTTTGATTTTAAATTTCTGTTAATAGATTAATAATATATTATTTTGATTTTAATGTTGTTAATTTTTATTTATTTGAAATTATTAATTATATTATATATTTTTATATTTTAGCGCCTCGCTTCGCTCGGGCGAGCGCCTAGCGCCTCGGGCGTTTGTGGACCTTGGTGCCTTTTGGCGCCTAGCGCTTTTTAAATCACTGGTAGGAAGTGTATTCAACACACAATCTTTCCTAAAAATGATTAAACCACCTTAAACAATTCCGTCCATCTTATCATGAATTGGTGCTACCACCAGCTTATGCTAATACAATCAGTTTTAAGTCATATTGTGGTACATTTACCTTGTATGATATCATGACAAACAAGATGTCAAGATCTAACCCTCCAATTCAACCAACCATTACTACTATATTAAAAACATCTCTTCAATCTACTTAGAAGTTTCCAAGACTAAACCAGCGCTTCAAGCAAAATCAATGAACATGATCACCATTATTTACTCGCCATAATTAATGTTGCTACACCAAGAACACTAATTACTAGGAAATGCTAATCACAGCAATCAACTAAAACCTCTAACTTCCTTACCCTTAAAATGCACGTGCTCATAGATCCTTCTTTTTTATGACATAATAATTTCTTTTGAATATCATAAACATGTAGATAATCATAACAATAGGCAGCATGGTACTAGCAATATAGGTAGAGTATGAAAAGCACATATGGTTTAAAAATTATGCTCAACACAACTACAAAAAGTTAATACAATAATATCATAAATAATAGAAAATAAACAAAATGCAAGCCATAAGAACTGCACCAAATAAGACAAGCAGTACATACCATCAAGAAGCTCATAAATTAAAACGAAGTTATTCCTAATGGCATCTTCATCAAATGCACCACCAAAATACGATTTAAATAATGCAACAGCCTGTTCATGTTAAAAGAAGAATGAATGTTAACAAAAGAAATAGGAGTCAAGAAAAAGAATATTACACTTCATAGCAGATAATGCGATAACTTTTCTAACAGATGTTTATTACCAGCTTCAAGTAGTAAGACAGAGTTCACATACTATCATTTACTTGCACTATGTATCGATAACACTAAAAATTCCTGATGCAGGCATAAATGATCAATGAGCAAATCATGAAAGTATCCTTTATTATGTAGAACAGCAAAACAATGATTAAATAAATGATGTGACTAGTGATAGGATCCCAAACAGACAATGCTGACAGTAAAGCAGAAGAAATATCACATACGCACACACACATTCCAATTAGGGTTGCAGAGAAGGGACATGCAATGTCTCACACTAGCGATGAGACCCACAGCTGCTCGCACTCACTGATCTGCCATTCGCCACCCCCCATCCACCACAGTACTCCTTCAACTCTTCTCCTCCTCTTCCTCCTCTTTTTCCTTCTTCCTCCTTCCCGCCTCCTCGTCCTCCTCCACTACCTCATCCTCTTCTCCTCTTCTTCCTTCCTCTTCCTCCAACTCCTCCATTTTTTCCTTCCTCGTCCTCCTACTTCCTCCACTGACTCCTTTTCTTCCTTGCTCTTCCTCCTGTTTCTTCATTGACTCTTCTTCCTTCCTCTTCTCTCTTTGGTACATATCAATCCAACAAGGGACCTCCCTCCCTCGCTCTCTGTCCCATTCTCACTCTTTATGTTGTTATTCATAGCAGCCTACTGGTAACAATTTCCAATACTGGATAACAGAGTTATACTTGATGGAGAACTAAGAGAAACAACAAGACTTCAGACAAGGAAAGACAGCTTGACATTCCCAGTATCTAGGTTAACCAGGAACCAACTGCATTAACTAGCATAATATGATATCTGAATTAGAAAATTGATGTAGCAGCAAATTAGAGAAAATTCCTTCTAAAATATCTAGCAATCAGACATTACCATATTTAGGTTATTAACCAGAAACCAAACTGCAATAACCAGAATAGCATCAATCCAGGATAGCAAAATGATGTACCAACAACTCAATAATTCTATAGCATACTCCTTCCAAACTATCTAGCAAGCATATGTAACTCCAAGTTGTTCACAAGAACAGCACCCAAGTGGTTACCAAGGCAACTTACCTCGACGACAAACTTGAATGCACAGGCAACATTGGCATTGCTGCTAACGACGATCACAATGTACACATTGCTAATTCTCATGTAAAGAAAAGAGCAGCCTCCAATTTGCCGAACAGGGCAAGTACCTAGTTCTTTTGTCTGCATTATATGCATCCGAAATGCATCCACCATATTGCCACTGAGACAAACACCGAATTTTAAGACATGGAATTTTCAAGAAAAATCAAGTAATTCGACTAGTAATTTAAATAAATTTCAGAGTCAAAATATATGCTCAAGGGCGAGGTGGTTCAAGGCATCAAGAAGCAAATAGAAAAAGAAATGAAACAAGATTCTTCAGAGTCAATTTCCAGTTGACGCCAGTTAAACAAATCCGGACTTGTACTCTTCAAGATATTTCCGGTGGCATATCACCCAATCAAGTGCACAATTGAACAGACATGCTAAAAAATCAAACAAACTTTTGTTCGAATCAACCGCTCCTCCAAAATCTCGAACCTCATACACATCCGTTCCAGCCAAAATCTTCAGCCGAAATAATCAAGATCTGGCAGGGAAAATGAAACAAGCGATTCGAAAGCCATAACAAGCAAAGAAAGGCGCGTACCCAACATCGTCGCGGTAGAGGCGATTGATGAGCACATCGCCGCGGAGATTCAAGAAGTATATGGCCGATGCCGCCACAGGCATCTCTTCCACGGCAGAGACTCCGGTCCCAGAAGGATCACGGCGGATCGAGATCCGTCGGCAAGCCAAAATCGCCGAGCCAAGAAACGCGGGGAGGAGCTCCTCCCGCAGGACCCACGCAGGCCAAGACCTAGGGATCCTCCTCGAGGGATCACGGATCTGAGATGCAGAGGTTCGAAAGGTCAAGATTTGAGGAGGAGGAGGAGAAGGGAAGAGGGTTTGGGGCCTTCCGAGAGGGATCCGGTTGTTCTTGTTTCTTTTATGGGTTCTTTTTCTTGTGTTATTTCTTATTCGGTTGCGTTTAATCTTCCAACAAAACATTCAACGCCGTCGTTGCCCGAGAAAGCCCAGCATCACGAGAGGCGCACGTGATGGCAGCGCAGCTGCGAAAACGCATGCACCAATTGCGTTGCAAGACATTTATTTTCCGTGGATATTATTATTTTATAAACCTTTGACATTACAATCTTTAGTGTAAGGCATCACGAGAGGCAAATCTCAATGCTTTCCTACACATTGGTAATTTTTTCTTATATATGCATTCACATTTATACCATATTACAAAATGGATGGTATACGGTCCATAAATATACAATAAACTTCATAAGATACAAAAAAAAGAGCTTTTAGATACAAAGTATTGTATATAATTAGTAATAGGTCTTTGAAAAAATCAAAGGCTAGACAAAATTTAACATCAATTACGGTAATTTGGAATTATGTTATATTAATAATAAAAATATATATATACAACATTTCATTTTAATCACGGCTATACAAATTCCAAAACAGTGAAGTACAATAGGGCAATAAATACTAGGAACTAGAAAGTACCAAAATAATAGTCTGGAAAGGAGGACATGATCAAGGCCATGCAAGTTTGATTAGTAGAACATGCTCTGCATAGAAAAACATCTGCAAAACAAAACAACAATAATTATATCTCTGGTTGAAGGGATCCATCAGACTGCGGTAACCTATGCAGGAAGATTTTGAAAGGTATTTCTTAGTCATCAAGAAGGGGAATACAAAACATAGGATATGCATGACCCATCCACAGATTGGACAAGACAATCATTGGTATTTCTTAGTCATCAAGAAGGGGAATACAAAACATAGGATATGCATGACCCATCCACAGATTGAACAAGACAATCATTGACTAGTGTTTCCCAACAGATCAAGTGTACACAGTATAAGAAGTGATCAAGAACATCGGCGATGATAACAGCAGAACTTCACTGGTCTGAACCAACTTGAGGAATTTCAATTGAAGTAAAGTAGAAGAACAAGTAAATTGAAGTCCCTTAGTTGCCCATCGATCTCCATTTAAATTTTCACTTGGAGAATTCCTTGCCATTTTGTTGGTATCACTTGGAGAATAAATTGACAGTAGTGATGATTCTCGGTTTCAAGACAATAAGAAAGGGCATATCTGAATAAAAAAGAGGGGAAAAACAAATGACAACAATGAGAAATCCAGTCCTATTGATCAATGGGTTCAGTTTCCATCAGCTGCTGTGACCTGAAAGCATAGTAACCAAATCATCAAAATAGTAATCAATACATAACTCATTTTCTTGATGTCATTCTTGACGTTAGCGGCAACAAGGACCGGGTACATGACATTTACTATGGAACGTTTCTATTTAGGTGGACTGAATCAGCCCCTGTTAACTGTCAGGGACAATGTCACCTACACAGACTTGGTGACTAGGTCTCAAAATTTTCCAAGGGTGATTTATTCACCTAAATAGCATTTCTTGTAGGCGAGGAGATCTACAAGTAGTAATTACCATGATGGAGGGTTGATACCAAGACCATTGCAGGTAAGTATCATTCCTTTGAATCTGGAAAGATATTCCTGGATCAAGGAAAAACAATGATAAGATATATAGGTTATTTTGGCAGCTCAACATTATTAAACAGTATGCTGTAATAAAATCCAATTCATAAGTAGCTGGCTGAAAACATACCCGTAAACTGTACCTATCAATCTCATAACTACCCGATATGTCATATTCAAGTCGCTTATCTGGATCACTTAGTACTGCAAACATTCACAAACCATAGAAATTCGTTAGTTCTTGTCTCATCCTTTTTTGAGTTGATTTTATGGTTTCTTCACCATGACTCATTGAGATTCCAGAATAACAAAATGGAACTGAACAAAATATTTACACGGAAGCTTTAAACAGAATTTGTAAGATCACCTTGGTAAGCTTCATTAATCTCCTGAAACTTTGCAGTGACATCACTATTTCCCTTATGCTTGTCAGGATGCCACCTCTAGTAATAGATGGACATGAAATTCTTAGAGAACATTTGCCAAACAAGAAATGTTTCTGCTGAGTAACGGTCTGTCAAGAGAAGATTATAGAGAACAGAGATAACTTACTAATGCAAGTCTTCGGTAGCTTAATCTGATAGTCTCATCTGTTGCATCATAGTCAACCTCCAGAACTTTGTAATAGTCCTGAGTAAAAAAATATAGTTCCCAATCACAAACTGATTATTATAACTAAGTTGGATGTTATTTCCAGAGAAAAATGTCAAACTATGTCAAAAAATCTCAAACTATGTAACTGTTTAGTAAATTAAATAAATTATCATTTCATGGAAACCAAATATGGTGATAAATCAGCAAGGTTTTTGTCAACTGGACAAAGATATCTGGGTGTGGTTATTATTTGTTAGTACTTACTCAACTATGAAAAAGCAAATAAATGAAATTCCTTATTGAATAAGCATGACTTTCATAAAATTTCATGACCAACCATGAAAGAAATAAACTAAAGAAAGTAACTAAATGCTCTTACGCCTTTAATATCTACTCAATCTAGCATAAATATTAATGAAGGTTTTTCGCAAAGATGTAATGACAAGTATTCAACATGTTAAAATCTACATTTCATTACTTATTAAGGCTATGATTTCTGGGTCCCACTAAATGAGAACCTAAGACATACAAGAAGTTGAATGCAGCACGATGACGTAATCTGAGAAGCCATGCTAATCTCATTCAAGATAAAACACTAAATATAAGAAACTTTTATCATTTAAAATTACAGATATACAACAAGAAGAAGAACAATGCATGGTGGAGGTTCTTTCACATATTTTTTTCATGGCTAAAAGTTAGTCTTACTTAGTTCTAAATCACAACCTCAAGAGGGACAACTGGGTTTCCAAATATAGGCAAAACCTTTGACTGTCCTCCAAGATTAAATAGAAATCAATCAAGACTGATGACATCAATTGAAATTTTGATTAGCAATTAAATGAGATCAACAAGATTAATTGAAACCAACAAATGTTTGCTTCACTACTAAGGAATTAGCTGGCACTGAGATTATATAAAAGTCAGCCTGGGCTGATAATTAATCTGAGGATTTTCTAAAAATGTTAGGTGTTTCTGAATACAATTGATCTTTGCTCAATCAATTCCAAAAGAGATAGAATGGATTTAGTCTATTTTGCACATCATATTTTTATCTTCACATGTTGTCATACAACTGAGATTTGATTCCCCCATCTCTTTGTGTCAATAATGTATTTGACATTCAACCTACTAACTTGTGTGCTGCTTATCGGGCCTTCCAACTCGATAGGACATGACCCGCCTATCGGGAATTGCAACAATTCAGGAGAAAAGGTATCCCAAGGGAGGACAAGATGGAAGAAAGTGAGATTACTGCTAAAGTAACAATTATTTTGCACAAAAGAAATGGTAAATTTCCAATTATGGCTTCAAGTTCTTACAAAGTATCTATATAGCAGATGTGCTCTATAAAATTCTACCAAAGGAGTGACCTATAACTCTGAAAATATGATTCCCATTAGCTACAGAACTTGAACCTTCAATTATATCAAAACTCTTAGATGTCAAAAAACACTCAAAACAAGACTTTTAATGCACAAAAGTAGATAACAAAAACTTCTAGAGCTGATCTCTCCATATGCAGGAAGAAAGAAACAACAGATGAGAAAAGAAGTGGACTGGCAGAATCTGTTGAGAAACGCGCCGTATGTATGGTTAGGTTCATTTGTCAGCAAATAGAGAACCATAAAACTTAAAAGACACAAGTAGGTCGACGAAATATGCCTCTAAGCTAAACATGTCTCTAAAACTAACAAAAGACCATCAAATTACCAATGCGTTGACCCGATCAAAAACCATAAATTACCACAATCGCCCACCCGATCACAAGCACGTCTTGTTCTCATCAAGCATGCACGGCGACGATCCACCCACAAGCAGCACAACGACAACCTAGCGATGACAATAACAACAGACCCGGGCAGCGATGGGGCGCGGAAGAGGCTTACCTTCTGGGGCTCTGCGCCGCTCTCCATCCAATGCTGTGCTCGAAGGATCCCTTCACATCCTTCATCACGAGGAACCCTTCAGCTCTTAATCACCGATAAGATCAAACGAGAAGGGGGGATTGGATGACGAGAGAGGGACGGAGAGGGGAGGCGGCGGTGGGCGTATTACGCCGGGAGAGGGTCGGGACCGGTTCTGTTCAGATTGGATGCGGTGGTTTCGGATAAGAACGTCCGACCAATAATTGGGCCCAACGGACCGTTAAGCCCAACGCCTGAAAGCAATCTTTATTGGGCCCCGTTGTGGAACCACATCCGAGTGGTAGCATTTGATGTCCGCAACGCGGAATTTGTTTTCGGAATCATTTCCTTCACTTGTTTTTAATCGACACTTACGGAAGACTTCAACAATGTGACAGAAATAAATCAAAGCTTACATTTGACATAAGTTTGCTAACAAATGAGCAAACGAAGAAGCAAAAAGAAAACAGCAAGAGCCACTTTTTCGTTTTTCACAACAAAAACATATATTAAGCCACAAAGAAATGCAGATGACTATACCATTATAGCATGCAAGCATAAGTCAAAGCTTCCATTTGACATAAGTTTGCTAACAAATGAGCAAACGAAGAAGCAAAAAAGAAAACAGCAAGAGCCACTTTTTTATTTTCACAACAAAAACATATATTAAGCCTCAAACAAATGCAGATGACAACCATTATAGCATGCATAAATGCAACCCATAGTCTGAGAAGCAGCAAAAACTGTGTGATGACTACAAACACCAGCAGAATTTTAGTCTGCAAAACAGCAGAAACTGTGTATGATGACTTCAAACACCAGCAGACTTTGGCAATTGCCAGGTTCATACATACAAACCAAACATTTTGAGCATTTATACAACTACAATCACGATAGACAAACTTCTGTTCATCAATATATATATATATATATATATATATATATATATATATATATATATATATATATAACTGCATAATAGATTGAATGTGAATAGGAAATGTACAATAATATCTTCAGGGGGAAAGAATGAAGCTGTGCTTTTAAAGCTTATAACTTGAGATGTTCAAACTAATCTGTGTGGATGAGCAGCCAGCCATTGATACTGCATGTCACTAGATCCTATGCGACACACTTGAGGGATTGTCTTCGACAGCATTGATAAGGATGGAAGCTGGAGATCCAGCTATGTTCTTTAGGAAGGATGTATCCTGTGCTGCCTAGAAATGCAAGTGGCACCCAAGGTAATTCTTATGGATGAGAACATATCTTGCAAAACACTGGCAGTACATTTCTAAATATGCAGAGACCCTGAAAGTAAATCAACATAATGTGATTCTCGTAAAAAAAAGTTGAAGAATTCTCATAGCAAATGTTAGGAAAGCTCTCTCCGTGTATAAATCATTCTTTTGGATATTCATGAAATTCCTCTAAGATATATTCCTGATCTAAATTAATATTGAAAAATAATTAGTCAGAAAATTGAATTACATATCACTTTCAAAAATGAACCTGGAAAGATATATGGTTGATGATGTCAGCAGCAGTCATGATCAGCCCAGGGTCTTCTGTACTGTGACCAAACAGATCGGCACTTGGAATGGATTTTGAGCCCTACATAAGAAAAAAAAGCCCATCTTATTGCAAACAATGTAGTTATTGATGGCAGTATAATGATATCATTTAATACCTGATTGAAAAGATGAGACAGATCTTTTCAAATCATGGCTGCAGAATACCTTGTTCTCTTCTGTAATCTCCTTGAGCAATTCGACAAGTTCTCTGATCTCCCATGGAAGCTGTCAATGACAAGTCTTACTTAAACATGGGACATCATAACAAATTCATGGAAAATAAAACCTAACTTAAACATGGTGAAGCCTAAAATGAAACCCACCTTCTTCAATCGAGTCAATTGCTTTATTAGGGTGGTAGGAGTCATTGAAGAAAGAGGATCAGCAATAACTAATAAGGGGGATAAAGAATATTATTCTGGTATATAATCTAGGGAAACTTCTTTATTGCAGGTGACTGACACATGACAGGCTATTGCAAATCCTTGTCAACACACAATTGAATGAATCCTTAAAAATACTTAGTTATTTCACTTATTGGATCCAGAATTAATAAAAGAAACAAAATACTTACAATAAAGCTAGTTTAACTGTTTAAGATATTTCAACTAAGCAAAAGAGAAAGACATGCTTTAAGCATTCATTATGTGGAAAAGACTTTGCAATTGGGTAAAGAACAAAGAATATCCACCAGTTCAATTAAATTAATTATTAAAGATATTTTTAAGAAGAATATTTCATCACGACAATGATGACTGTAAAGATAGTGTCAGCGGTGTCCTTCGTTGTGGTTGAAAATGATGGTAGCTATTATTGCATTGTGAACAGCAATTTAGTTGTGATAATGACAAACCAAACAATGACTAGGAAGATGGCTACTTTGATGACAGTGGTGGAATTGGTACATTCATTGGTAATAATGATGAATCCAGGAAAGAAAGAACATCAGTTATTTGAAGCCTTTCCGGCATGACCACTAGAAGAGGACTGATGGGAAAATATCTAGAACCAAATTCAACTTTCCAAGGATATGATTTCACTGGCAAAGATTAGAAGTCTAATCTCACGACACCAAGAACTGAAACCAGTTATAACTAGCTGAAGAATTTCAAGGACAAAACTGATGTGAAGTTACCTCGAGGCGTCCCCATTTTGGTCAAAACACCTTCCAGTATTTTCATCTCCTATACTGATAATTTTTCTGTTGATGTTTGCATATGGACAAAAATTGAAGATTTGATTCAGGTGGTATAGTGCTTCAGTCAAACAAAAGACATTTTCTGACCTCAATGAGCTTAGTAATTTACACCTACACTGTGGTCACCAAAAGTCATTACAAGAACACCTTCCATTTTTAAAATGATGGAATCGACTTGAGTCCCTTACAATTATCTCACGCCCAGTTACTTTGGACACCATCTTTGTAAAAGAATGACACTCATTACAAACACGAAGATTTTTGAAGACCAAAATTGGGCAACATGTTGGTACCGATATAAGCCCAAAGGCAATTGCTAGCCTCTCACTGTGGTCAAGAAGCTGCTCCATACGCTCTTTGTGCAAGACATTCGAGTTTCTGTCTGTTGTGACATTGGATTCAGATACCATTATTTGTCTGTCCAATTCATCTAATTTGCAATATATTTGTTTGGTTAAAGGATGATGTTTATCTCCCACAATGAATCTATGAACACTACCCTTAACTGTTATCCAACTGCAACTAACTTCCTTCTTAATACGTCTTCCATTCATCATCCTTCTAACTGAGGCCGCCTCCACCCACCTACCTGCTGCAGCATACATGTTAAATATGAGGATATAGGCGGCAGCATCATTGGGATCCATACTAAGAAGATTCTCCCCTGCAACCTTCCCAAGATCCACATTTTGATAAGTGGTGCATCCACTCAACAACATCTTCCAACTTAGAGCATCAGGTTGGAAGGAACCAGATCTGATTAATTCATACGCCCTTTCCAAATAGCCAGCACGACAGTAAACATCAATCATACAGTTAAAATGATCAGAAGTTGCTTCCACACCATAAACCCTATACATTGAATCTAAATATTCTCTTGCCAAAGAAACCAATCCAGTATGACTACATGCATTCAAAATACCAGTAAATGTGATGGAATTTGGCTTAACCTGACAACTGAGCATCTTATTGAAAAGATCCAGAGCTTCCAAAGCCTGACCATGATAAGAACATCCTGCAATAATAGCTGTCCAAGCGACAGTATCAGGTTCAGCAATCAACTCAAAAGCCCTACGTGCATAATCCAAATTACCACATCTTGCATACATGGTAACCAAAGCACTATCACCAACAAGGTTGGAGACGAGCCCTCTCTTTATTGCATCAGCATGCAATTGACTACCAGAACTGGAATCAGTTAATGCAGAAGACGCTTGAAAAAGGCTAGAATATATGAATGAATTTCGTGTCATTTTTCTACTCCTCAAGTATCTGAACATCCGGAAGCACTCCTCATATCTACCCACTTGGGAATAACCAGCAATAATAGCACTCCATGAAACCTCATTAGGTTGACAGATCCTATCAAAGGCATTTTGAGCTTCAAATATATTCCCACACTTGACATAAAAGTTAACAATAGGTGTTCCTGCTGAGACATCAGAATCCATCCCCAATTTGATAATGCACCCATGAACTTGCCTCCCTGCCTCCCAATTCTCCATCTCAGAACATGCCTTGAGGATGATTGAGAACACAAACTGATCTAACTCTGTGCCTTCCCACATCATCCGCTTAAACAAGACCAACGCCTCATACTGCCTCTCAACCTGGGTATAGCCAACCATCAGACTAGTCCAAGACACAGCATTCCTCTCCACCATGCGATCTAAAAGAAGAGCTGAGGTATCCAAGCACCCACATTTAGCATACATATTAACAAGCTCTGTATCAGAGAAGACATCAGATACGAACCCAATTCTTATCATGTACGAATGAATCTGTTTGCCAAGCTCGAACTCTAAGTCATTCGAGCATGTACGCAACAAGTTGGCAAAAACTGTCATATCCGGGTCAAGTCCTTCAATTTTCATTTTAGAGAAAAGTTGAATGGCTTCTTGAAGATACCCACTGCGAGCAAAACCACATATCATAATGCTCCAACTACTCAACATCCTACTAGACATTTCCTTGAAAACTTTACAAGCATCATCAAGACCTGAACAGTCAAAGTACATCTTAAGGAGGCAATCAGCAAGGGAAGCATCCAGGTTTCTATTTCTGATCCTCTTCAGCATGTGACGGTGGAAGAATCGTCCATCATCCAGGGATTTCCAGGTGCCGCAAGCTGTAAAGAGTGATTGGTAAACATGGGGCTTTATGCAGATGCCTGAGGAGTCCATGAAACCAAGGAACTCCCGTGCTTCATGAAATCTGCCCTGGTTGGTAAGGGAAAGAATGTGGAGGCTCTCAAGGAGGCCATTCTCCTGTTGGGCTTGGAAAGAGGGAGAAGGGGAGAGGGAGGAACGCAATGACACCCATGAAGGGATTTTGGTGAAGGAAGAAGGGATTTTGTGGGTTTGGATGTTGTGGCTTATGAAGTGGTCAGACTCTTTGTGCATGACATTCTCCACAGAAAGTTCAGTCCAAGAAGATGCAGTTTGTTTCATGTCCGCTTCTGTCACAACTAGATCTGAAGAAACTGCCTTAATCTTTACTTGGTTTCTCTCTTTTTCCTTGTCAACTAGAGAAGTTATCTGAGCTTTTAGCTTTGTATCCTGGCTCCATAATTCACAAACCTGTAATAGAATAAGTTTGTAAGTCTTGCAGAAGTTATTTAAATATTAGCATATAACACATTGCACACTTGCACACACAAAAGTACTTGTTTATTTTTGCATACTGTCCAGATAAAGATCATTATTTGCAATGGATCAGAATGCTTGTTTATTTTATTTTGAGGAGTCTGTTCATAACAAGGTTTAAAATTGTAACACCTCTGATTTAGCTCACATAGTCACATTGGAAGTGAACTAAAACATTGATTAGCTTATAAGGATATGATATGTGGCTTATAAGAGTTTGATAAGTGTACTACTATTGACTTCAGCTTAAACATTTTGAGCCAGTGGTTTTGATTCAACGAAGTTAATAGGTCAACTATCTTGTCAGGGCAGGTAATAACAATTGACATCAAACTTAGTTTAATATTGGGACATGGTGAAAAGTTCGAGTAGGAAAAGGCTACTCGTGAACGGGACCGGAAGATATGTCGGAACCACCATTGGGTTATGCCTCACATGCACCATGTTAGGATTTGATCTAGGTTATATTAGACCGTGTCGAGGACGTTAAGCCCTTAAGTGGTGGGGGAGATTATAACACTCCCGATTTAGTCTCACATCGG